GAGGGAGGGAGGGAGGGAAGGAAGGAAGGAAGGAAGCCAACAAAACAACAGGCCCATCCTCCAGAGGCAGCCCTTAGTTTGAGCAGTGGGCCAAACACAGGCCCCACGACTGCCCTGCCCGTTCCTCCAGGGACGAGGCGACGGCCAGCCCTGACGTTGGGCAGATGAAACACCTGAGGCAGAGCGGCTTCTCCAGGGCCCTCTGCCTCTGAGGTGGGGGGAGGACCCTCCTTCGCCCACCCCCGCTTATGTACCCAAGTTAGCAGACGACTCCTCCACCACTTCAGCCCTCTGCCAGGGGGGGGGGAGGGAGGGAGGGAGTCATCCTTTGCTTCAGGTACCAGAGCCCTGGCATTCGAAGCAAGCATTCCTTGAAGGTGGGGGTGACACTAGGGGTGCTTCTAGATGGGGGAGGGGGGTAAACCTGGGGAAACCAGCAGCACCGCCCGACACTGTTGCGTGTCCTCAGGTGTTTATGGATTCCAAGGAAAACCTCAGAAACCTTGGGAGCAACCAGAGGATTTCTCCCCATTTCCCTGGAAGGCTCTCCAGGGCCGGGGGGGGGGGCAAGGATGGCTGAAAACACCCGCCACCCCAGCAGTAGCATCGTGATGGTCAGGAAAGGCGAATGCCACCTTCTCCTTCCCTTCTCCCCCCCCCCAGCGCTCACAAGACTCTGCCACCTGGGTCACAGCCTCTCCGGGAACTTCAGAGGCCACGGGTGGGTTGCCAGCGAGCCTCGGCCAGAAAAGCAGCTTCCCGGCCTCTGGCTCATTTCCTCCGCCTGCTTCCAGTGACATCAGCTCCCCCACTCACACGGGACATCTCCAGATGTGAGTCACTCCCATCCTTCTCCAGCAGATCTGCACATCGGCATCCCTCCCCCCCCCCGCTCATGCACAAGCAACCTCAGGGCAGGGAGGAGGACCTTCTGGCCACCCAGAGCCTGGCAGGGCATCTCTTTCATGAGGCTCTTCCTTAGCCACGAGGGAACAGGGCTTTGGGGGGGGGGACTACAGAGTCCAGAATCCCCCAGCTGGCACCCAGCCACTAAAGGAAGAGGAGCTGGCCCAGCCGGTACTACTCCCAGCCTCCCCATTTGGCCAGCCTAAAGGAAAACCCAGCTGCTCACCCAAGTAAGTATTTGGCCCCAGGGAGATCCTGGCTCTGTTCTCCATCCGCCCTTGGTTTCTGATCCCTTCAAATTGTTCCACTTTTGCCAAACAGTTAATTGTTTTCGGTCCTTTTGATAGCATGTTATTACCACAACCCACCCCAGTGCCTGTCAGGATAGCACCCTGTACCTTCGGAACCTTAAGCTGGGGTATGAGCAAAACCGTCTTGCTCAGAAACCTTTCCATAAATACCCATTTTTGAAAATTACTCCTCAAATCATACTGTAAGTCACTCTGCAGGAAACAGGCCAAGAAGTGAATGCACCCCCAAGTTGCATATTCAGACCTCTTTAGAGAGAGAGAGAGAGAGCGCCACCTCTACGCTGGCCAAAGCAGGGCCCCCTCCAAGAGATGGGGGGGCGCTGTCCTTTTCGCCTGCCCCAGCCTCAAACACACGGAGGCAGGGAGAGGGGCCCAAGGGCCCCCAGGCGGCTCACCCGCCTCAGCCAGAGCCCCAGCCCCCCCCAGCCCCTTCTCTCCCCCTTCGCTCCTTCCTCCAGGCATCAGTGGGCTATCAGGATGCTGGGGAGTGGGGGAGGGGGCGGGTGATGGGGAAGCGGAAGCTGCAGCCCACTCGCCCCCCTCCCTCGGCTGGAGAACAGGAGCCTGAGAGGACAGAAGCGCCGAAAAGCTATAAATAGGCTTCCCAAACTCTGGGCCTTCTCCCGGCCTCTGCTTCCCACGGCCTTCTTGGGAAAAGAGGGGATGCTGAGGCAGCCGCCACCACCGCCACCACCGCCATGGACTTCCCTCCGAGCAAGAAGAAGGCCGCTTGGCTGCCGAGGGTGGGAGCCAGGTACCCCCAGGGTGACCCCAGCGTGACTGAAGCTTCAATACTTTGGCCATCTCATGAGAAGAGAAGACTCCCTGGAAAAGACCCTGATTTGGGGAAAGTGTGAAGGCAAGAGGAAAAGGGGACAACAGAAGATGAGATGGCTGGACAGTGTCTGCGAAGCAACCAACATGAAATTGACACAACTATGGGAGGCAGTGGAAGACAGGAGGGCCTGGTGTGCTCTGGTCCATGGGGTCACGAAGAGTCAGACACGACTAAACAACTAAACAAACGAACCAATTAAGAAATAAATCATCAGTTTGCTCCAGCTTATGAAAACCAGTAGCTCTTTTTGCCTGAGCACAACTCAGTGTTGCAATGGTTAACTTAAACATCTGAGGAACAACTGTAATTCAAAGTGCTTTAATCAAAAACATGAATGACAGAGGCAGTACACAGGAGAAACTAGTGTTTACTGAACCTGTAGCTTGGCCTCAGTCAAGCAAATATGAGAGGGCTTATCTCGAGCACTTTTCCTCAGGAAGTGAGAACGCTCTTCATCATTGGCTTGACCACAGCAGCTTCTTTCTTACCATAAGTTCAGACTTGTTTTAAATATTCTAAATGGATATTCTACAAGTGAATATCCTAGTGGAGAGATGGAGAGTATATATATATTTTATCGTCATTTTGATCCCGTTTTAACTGCCCTAGGTCACCATAACAGAATCCTGGCGTTCATAGCTTTTTCTATGAATTTTACTTGATTTCCAAGGGAGATTTCCAATCTTGAAGGCAGAGCTAGTGTTTTTAGGAAGGAAGGACTGTGTTTAGCAGAGCTAGCCTCAGCCATGCCCTCTCTCTTTTGCCTGCCCTCCCTGCTTCCCATCACACACACACACACACACACACACACACATATGCCTTGGAGCAGGACTTACCTGGCAGGCAGTAGGCTTGGCTCGAGGGTCAAAGATCCGCACCTTTTTATCCTGAGGAGAGGGAGATGGGAGGTTGGAATGACCCCAAAACACCAAACACAACAGGTGCGCATGCACACACGCACACCCACTCCCTCTCTCTCTCCTTGGGGGACAAGCCCTCCACTCCCTTCTGAGGAGAGGGAGATGGGAGGTTGGAATGATCCCAAAACACCAAACACAACAGGTACGCATGCACACACATGCACGCCCACTCCCTCTCTCTCTCTCCTTGGGGGACAAGCCCTCCACTCCCTTCTGCCATGCTTCACGTGGCACTGCCCACGGAGAGGAGGGAAGCCCCACCACCGCCACCCCCACGGGATGGGACGGCCTGGATCTGATGCCCGCAGGGGAGGGGGCCGGTCAGGGAGGTCCTTCCCCTAGAAATGAATCCCTCTCTCTCAGGCCCAACGAAGTCCAGCCTTGTGGCACCTGAAGGAACAAGGAGCCCAGGTTTAATTTGGCACCGGCTGTGGTGGGTTGTGGCTTTCCTTCTTCGGGCACCTGACGAAGCAATTGGCAAAACAAGACGGGCTCATCCTTAAGGTGACACAAGAATCTTTATTGCTTCTCATGTTACTGAAAGTCCAGAGTGCCTGGAGCCAGAAAAATGAGGTGCAAAAAACCCCATCCAGCCACATTTCTCAACTTCCGTGTTTCTCCCTTTGACCTAACTGGGTTTATATTGTATTCGCAAAGGCTTTCACGGCCGGGATCTAATGTTTGTTGTGGGGTTTTCGGGCTCTTGGGCTCTTTGTTCTGAAGGTTGTTCTTCCTAACGTTTCACCAGTCTCTGTGGCCATGGGCCTCTTCAGAGGACAGGAGTCAGAACTCTGTCTGTGCTCTGTTCTGACTCTGAAGATGTCCCGGCCACAGAGACTGGCAAAACATTAGGAAGAACAACCTTCAGAACACGGCCAGAGAGCCCGAAACCCCCACAACAACCAATGGGTTTTTATTGTTCTTCTTGTTCTTGCTGTTAGCCCTAAGCTTGATGAGTACACCTCTCGGGAACTCACAAGCCTGTACACTTTGGGTCATAATAAAAGTATTGCCCTGCCTCTGTGGCTTTGGGGTCCCAATTAACCAACACAGCTAATGGGAGGCATATACTTCCCAGTCCAAACTCTGAATTAGCTTCACGCTTCTGACTTGGTCTTTGCCTCTTCCAAGGCAACTTTCCCACTCTCTTTCTCTCTCCTGCTTCCACATCCTTTGCAAAATTACTGACAATCTTCCAAGCCATAAACTGGAGGACTGGAATCCAGTCATGGGCTTATTATGGGTTTTTCTCTCTCTCTCCTTCCTGCACATGGTTTCACTTGGGTTTCCTGTTTACCAGAAAACCACCGCTCAGAGCAGTGGCTGATTTCGGAAACTCTTTCAGACTGCAAAACCCCGGACTGACGTGGGCTTCCAGGTCCAAGAGGGAGGGGCTAGCAGAAGCCAAAGTGCTCTGGTCCAGCTGTTGGTGCAACTTGTGGTTGGGCCAGCCTGGAAGCCCAGCAAAAGCTCCACCCAAGAGGGACGGCATAAGCCGGAACCCGCCTCCTAACAAGGGTCTGAAGAAGCATCACCATTGCCTCCCCCTCCCCGGAAAAAAAGCCTTGTCGTTCTGGAAAAAGAGATGAGATGCTCACATTCTGCTTAGTGCAGGATCAGGGAATGCAATTTGTCTGTATTTAGGTAGGAGGGGGACCCTCTTGGGGTTCTGCACGAGACCCACCCACTGCAAGTAAGATCCCCCAGGAGACAAGAGGCAGGTAAGCCTCCCCCCCCCTTTTTGAATATACCCCCCAAGACCCAGGAAAAATCCCTGGCTGTGCTTTCAGGGCTTCCCTAATGGGAGACACTCAGAGCTGGGGCGTCTTTTGGACTACAGCTCCCAGCATCCTGCTGCCAGGCTGGCCCGGGGCAGGATGGGCTGGGCGATGCACCGCTCAGTCCCTGTGAGCAGAAACATCCAAGGCTGCCCAAACCCTTGGTTCCCAAAGGGGTGTGTGTGTTCTTGCCGCTTCCAAGACATGGGACCTCAGAAGCCCCCAGAAACGGCTGCCCAAAAACCCAGCGCCGGCAGCAATGGGAGCAGGCTGCCCGTTGGAGGCTGAACCAGTGGGGGAGCGGGCAAGGCAGCCTGCAAGCCAAGAGGCCAGGCCTCTCTCTCTCTCTCCTTCATTTGGGCGCCCGTCCGTCCGTCCCTCCGTTCACAGCCCGAGAAGGAGGCTTCCCGCCAGGCTGATTGGGCATGTGCGCAGCGCCCCCCAGTGTTCACATGGGGGTACAGGCAGTGCCTTAGCTAGGCGGCTGGGAATGCAGAAGGGACGGGAAAACAGTAAATACTTTTAACAAACATTAAATACATAGATCTCTTTAAAAAATTCTGATAAATAATAAACAGCTGCTCTCTTGCAGAGACAGCTCACACACGGCTGTGCTATCGTAACACAAACGCACACACACGCACACAGAGAGAGCCTACCTTGCAGGAAGTGCCCAGGAGCGACCCGTCCGGTTTCCAAGCCAAGCTCTGCACCTGGTCCTCGTGACGCTCCAGATCTGGAAGGAATGACACAGCAGACGGGTGACCTGGTAGGAACCGTCTTCCGAGGCCCAGCCGCCCGGCAAGCAGGCAGATGGACCACAGTCCCTGTCGTGGCTTGGCCGACACCCTCGTTTCCCCACCTGCCCTGGAAGGAGGACCCCGAGGGCTTTGAAAGGACCTGGGTCAAAAGGACGCGCAAGCCTCCCAAGGGCGATAGCCTTCGGAGTCCTCCAGGAGGTGGAAGCCCAAAGGACCTACAAGCCGGGGCTGGGGGTGCGACTCAACTTGGACTCCATTTGGGAGGGCCCCCCCAATAACTCAAACTCAATTCATGGCTTAGAACCCCCTCATCCCCTCCCTTGTTTCCTGGGGGGGGGAGGCTTGTTTTCAAGAGGGACTTGGCTGGCATCTTGTCTGGTGGCGGTCATTCCATCAGTGCTCAGGAAAAACAATCCTTTTGGCCTACAACTCCCCCCCTTGTTTCCTGGGGGGGGGGGAAGGCTTGTTTTCAAGAGGGACTCAGCCGGTGTTCCCACATCTTGTCTGGTCATTCCATCAGTGCCCAGAAAAAAAAAATCCTTTTGGCCTACAACTCCAAGAAGGCTAACTGGGGATACTGGGAGTTGTAGTCCAAGCTTTGCCCATCAAGTCATAAGAATAACGAGTCCTTGCTCTGCCCCACCTCCCATCCGTGCGCCCGGGGACGCCCATCGCCAGCCCCAGAGATGTCTGCATCCACGGAGGAAATGGGCCAAGCGTCCATTCATGCTCAGGGTGACAATACATTTGCTAGTTTTAAAGTTGCCACGTGACGCTTCGTTATCCTGAGAGAGCTCAGGAACTGTGCTCTGTGCTCTTAAAACGCTCTTATTTATGCGACGACTTTCCTTTGTTCTAAATCCATGTCTATTGCAAGACACTCTGGGGGTCTCCACAGAGGGGAATGACAAAGCAAATGAGGTCAAATAAAGAAAACTAAAGTAAGCCCTCCAAAAAGGCAATTTAAAACGTGTACGTCTTTCAAAAACAGACACCGCCAACATGATTTAGGCTGGGCCCTTGATGGGCCGATGCATGCATGAGAGAAGCAGGAGCAAAACTCTGAGTTGCGGGAGTCTCTTCTTTTCCAGACAGACAGACAGACAGAAGAAGAAGAAGTGTTCAGTGTGCCTCCAAAACTTGCCTCCTTTGGCCACTCAGGGACAGCCTGAAGGACCATTTGGCAAATTATTCGTCTTGGTGGAAATCAGGGAACAGGCAGCTGGGATGGCACTCGGAAATCCAAGCCTTTTTTTTGCCCTGGGAAGGGTGAATTCAGAGCAGGGCAGATTCGCCCTGTGCTCTGAGAGCGGAGGCTGCTAGCCGGGAGGCCTCGCAGCAGAGAGCCAAGGGCCCACGTGACCGACCGGGGGGGGGGTTGCCACGCTCCCCGGGCCTCTTTGCGGTTCTCCTTTCCTGCCCTCCTCTCGCAAGAGGAGCCTCCTGGCTTCCCCTTTCGCTCTTGCAGCAAACGCCTCCATTTTCCACCCTTACCTGATCAACAGGCAGCCCTCAAGTTGCCCTCTCCCTGGCCCCCACCCCCACCCCCCAGGTAGGATCTTCTGGAGAGGGGCTGGTGGCAGAACCCAGACCCTGGATGGGCATAAATCTGGTTCTTTCTGGGGGTGTGTGTGTTTCCTAGGGAACCCTAGACCTCCCCACGACCAGAGCTACACCGGCACCGCTGAGAACCCCTGCAATCCATGGGGCTCCACCCTCACTCTGCCAGCCCCACCCATCAGAGTAATTAGGAGCCCACCATCTCTCCCCCCCCCCCAGTGTTACCTGCCAGGCTTTGCTGCTGCCCCACATCCCAAATCTTCACTTTCCGCAGAGCCCCGCTGGCCAGGAGGCCGTCTGCTGTGGGGTGGAAGAGGACCAAGTCCAGCCGGCTGCCTTCAGGCCCCAAGGTGATGTGGGGGGAAGACGAGAGGTCCTGGCCCGGGTGCGAGAGGCGCCAAACCTTCACCTGCAGAGCAGCAAAGGCACAGAACACAGCCCAGGCTCAGAACGTGGCAGGGAAAGGTGGCCTGGTGTAGTGGTTAAAGCCGGGACCCTGCGCTGAGACTCAGTGGAAGGCCTGGGCCAACCACGGTCTCTCACCTGACCTGCCTCACAAGGCTGTTGCACGGATCAAGTAGGGAGGTGAAAAGACACCCCCACGCCCCCGTTTGGGATGCCTCGGGAGTTGGGAGGGAAACGTCACGACTAGCAAATGCCTGAAGAAGGGAAATGTTCAGCAAGAGCTGGCCGGAGGGCAGAACGCGCAGCAGGGGCCCCCAAGGGAAAGCCTGCCCCCCCCATGGGATCCAGCCTTTGCCGGGGCCGGAAAGGGGCTCCATGCTCAAGAGAGGACTGAGCCGGCATGCGTGCGCGCACAGGCCCTTCCCCCCACAACACGCGGCAGGCGTCCCCTTGGGTGCAAATCCTGGATAAGGCTACTCTTGGGCACTACACCACCCAGAATCCCCCAGCCCAGGGGGAGATTCCGACGCCCACAGTGCCCGAGAGAGGAGGTCCTCTTGCTTGTCAAGGCGCCTCCGGCCCCCCCGTCCCACTTCCCACCCACCCAAGTGCGCTCAGAGGGGAAACACCCCCCCCAAGGTCGCCTCTCCAGCAGGGATGGCAAGGCAGGCGAGGGGTGGGTACGCGCAAAGACCTCAGCACTCACACATTCATCGGCCGAGGCGGTGGCCAGGATCTGCTCATCGAAGGGGGAGAAGTCGAAATCAGTCACTGCATCTGAGCAAAAGAGAGGGAGTGAGGGAGGGGGGAGCAAATAAGCACCCCCACACACATTCACACACCGTCCCCATGTAATTGTTGGAGGCTGGGAGGTGGCAGCCACCCGAACCCTCAGCAGGGGAGGCAAGAGGGATCCTGGTCGGACATCAGTGGGGGTGGGGGTGAGGCGAGAGCGTGGGAGTGGACGTGGGAGGTTCCCTGTGCCCAGCTTCGAGGGGAGGGCTCACAAGAGAACTCCTTTCTTCCTGGCAAGCTGGTCTTGGAGGCCAAGCTCCCCCCCCAAAAAAAAGAGAAATGGCATTTCATAAAGGATTCGTCGCAACCCTCTTTATCCGTCCCAAGCAGGAGGCAAGGGAGGCAGGGGAACCAGGCACTGCCCCCCCCGTCCCGCCACCGCCAACCTCCCTGGGCAAGGGGAGAGGGCTCCTGGAGTGGCCGAGCCCACCTGCCTCAAGCCCACCTCTGCGGGCAGCTGGCGAGGCCGCCAAGGGGCCGGCACACAGCTAGCTGGCCGTCACCCCCACCCCATGGCACCTGCAGGCCAGCCCCAGCCGATCACCCCCGCCTTCCCTGGGGCCCTGGCACGGCACACCAGCCGGCAAGGATCAGCTGGAGAGGGCAACAGGGCGGGAGGAGAGTTTGGCACAGCACCGAACAGCGCGGCTGAAGCATCTGGCGAGCCCACGAAAGTAGGTCGCTGCTACGCAATTTTCCGTTCCTGCAGGCCTGCGAGAACGGCAAGCCCACAAAGCAGGAGGAGGAAGCGAAAGGAGCTCCTTCCAGCCATCTCAGAGGCCAAGGGCCCCTGTGGCGCTGGGCCAGCCTGCCAGCTCTGCGTGCCGGGCCTCCCTCTTCACCTTGGCACACCTGGCGGCAGCTGCCCCAGCGAGGAGATCCTCTCCTTCACCCTCACGGTCTGTTCCTGGCCCTCTCCTGCAGAGCGGGGCATGGCGGTCTCGCTTTCCCTCTGCCCCCCCCCGGCAGCCCCAGGCTCTCCCAATGAATGGGCCTTTGTCCACCCTCCCTGCCAGGGGTCGAAACGCACAGCCTTCCCAGGGATGTGGGCAGGAGGGGGTGGCAGGAGCTGGCAAGACAAGGGAAGTCAGGCCACCGAGGGGGAGCTGGCTGCCCTCCTGCATCTCTGAAGAAGGATGACGCCCCCCACTACGGAGGAAGCAAACAAACAAACAAAAACCTTGTGGGTCTCTAAGGGCTCAAGGCGGCTCTTTGCCAGCTCGGATGGAAGAGACTCACAAGGCCCAGGACCCTCTAAGCACCAGGGGAGTCACAGACGCCACTCAAGCCAAGGGAAGACATCTCGTCTGACAGGGCGTCCCACCACAACCCCTCCCCATGACCGCCCTTGAACATCCCATCATTTTAACCCAAGGCTGTCTGTTGCCTTGGCTGGTGGCCAGACGGCTTCTCGTAGCCCCTGATAAGTCCCCACTGAAGCTGGGCCCTCTCACCTGCCCGAGCCCCCCCCCAGACCTGCCTGCAGGCAAAGGCCGGCCAAGCAAGAGGCTTACCTGAGTGGCAGGGCAGGTGGGACACTATCCGCTCGCCCTGCAGAGGCACCAGGCCCAGCACACCTGCAAGGGGGGGGGGGAGAAGTCGCCAAGGTCACAGGAGGCCACTTGCCTTATCAGACGCCCACGCCCCCCTCCCAGCACTCAAATGCTGAAATCCCATCCAATCATTTCTGGGGGCGGGCGGATAGAAGGATCCCCCCAGCCAGCCTTCGCTGCTCTCAGGGCCCCAGTGGAAACCCATCGCCTCCTTCGTGTTTCAGCTGGCCATCTGGCCTTGCCTCCTTCTCCTGGGCCGGGCCCCCAGGTGTCTCTGGCGGGCAGCCCTGGTGACCTCCAGCCAGGCTCCTTGCCTCGCCTTACCCAGAGAGAGCAGAGCTGGGACCTCCTTTGGACAAAGCATTGTGTTCTCGTGCACCCAAAGTATGAGCTACGCTGCCTCTCTCTGCCTCCCACCTACACTCCCACCTCCCAGTTTAGCACTGGGGCATGCCTTGGTGGGTTTCCTGCTGGGGTATGAACCAGCCCCAGTCCCACTTAGCTTCCCAAAGCAGGGGCCCCGAACAGCCCAGCCATCACCTGTGGCAGCCAGGGAAGAAAGAAAGCACATAGCGAGGGGGCCCTCGTTCCCAGCCCCCCCCCTTGCGCCTTGTGAGGCCCACCTGGGGCAACGGGGAGTGGAGAGCCCAGCTTTGCAACCTCTGCTTCCCGAGGCCTCCGGGGCAGGTGCCTTCTGCCTCTTTGCTCCAACCCCCCCCCCACAAATCCCCTCCCGGATGCCTGTCTGCTCTTTCTCCAGGGACCGGTCCTTTGGCCAAGCCTGAGCAGGAGAAGAAGGCTCGGTCGGCCCAATGGCACCAAGGCAGGTCGGATCCTGGGGCAAGCCCTTCCCTCACCTGCTGGATCTGTACTGAAAGCGATCCAACAGCATCCAACCTTGATGTTCCCGGAGGCAGCCGGGCAGCTTCCCCGAAGGTCCCTGATCCACACCTGGAAACAGAAGGTGGGAGAGGAAACCGAGATAAGAGACAGGAGCTGAAAGGAAGGACATTGTCCCTTGAGACCAAGAATCACATTTTATTTATTTCCCTGTTGCGCTGACAGCCCTTTTTGGCAAGAAGTGAGACCCATAAGAACATATATATAGTATATTCAAAATAACAGTCTTAAACACCGTGAATCACTCCCATCAAGGTCCAGTCTGAGGGTCCAGAGACCTCCAGAAGGTTTCGCGAAGCCCTCCACAAACAAGAGCCACCAAAAACAACAGTGGCTTCCTGCACTGAGTTAGCACAGGAGCCAAACCTACACGGGCAGGCGGGCGGGGGGGGGGGGGGAGTG